GCAGTTAGAGTCATATAACAATGTATGTATAAATTTTTGTATGGGCAAATATAAAACAAAGAATGAACAAATCTGTCTTTGAAGACATACAACCAGAATGCTCCTTAGAAGGAAGGATGGCGAGACTCTGTCTTACCTACTTTGGACATTTCAGGAGGGATGAATCCCTGGAGAAGGAAGTTATGCTTGGTAAAGTAAAGGGCCAGCGAAAAAGAGGAAGACCTTCAATGAGATGGATTCGCACAGTGTTTTGTTCAGGTGTACATAGGGTCGCTATGAGTCAGAACTGACTCAGGAGCACCTAACAACAACAATATCCAAAGGAGGATTATTAGGATAAATAGATTAATATGTTCTCTTATGACTTGAGCTAACTTATTCCACAAAAAAACGTGTTTTGAAGTCGAAGGTGTTTGGTCATTTGTTTCGGTCACTTGATTTTTTATTTGTTTGGTTGGTTTATTTATAGATAACAACCAGTATTTATAATAATATTAGGAAAAGGCCCCCAAGCTAGTCTTCCCTTTCATGTAAATATTCATACTCTAGTCAAAGAATGTAAAATAAATAAATTTTAACTTCTTATGGTTGTAAAAAGAAATGAGGGTAAAAGTAACCTGGGGAAAGACATAGTTTATCTTTCTAATTCCTTCCCCCATTCCTCCTCCATTCCTTTGCCTTTTTTATTTATTCTTGATTCAAGTAAAGAACTATTCATCAAACAAGTAAAAGTTTTCTTGAAGTGTAATTCAGTTCATCCTCTTGCCTTTGTTTGAATCCTGGTCTGTATTGATTTGAATGTAGCATAGTAGGAACTAAGATAATGCTCCTTGTTGAATATCTCAGACCCAGTGGGAGTTAGATGTATCATCTCATCTTAAGGGGAAGACATATTTGGCAAATTGTTAGACAAGATTTTAAGGTATTATGAGAATTCACACTTTTATTGGAAAATTTAGGAATGAATTTGAAGACATATAGTTAAGTTCTGGTGGAAAATATTTAATCATTTTTTGTGATAATGATTCCTATAGATTTTTCCACGGATCAGGTAGATGTCGCGTTGTTTCTTGGGAGTTATGTATTATCGTTTGTGTTCAGATCTCTCTAGACAGAAGAATAAAGGTAATGCTTTGTCTTCTGTTCTTCGTTGTTTTGTTCATTTGAAATCTTTCTCTGGTCACCTACCCTCTGTGGCCAATTGTTCTTGTCCTGCATCATTGGCATGGCGTTCACTCCAGGCTTTGTTCTCAGCCTGCATCATTGCCATGCTTTCCCTTTCCATCTCACTGAAGTATGACTGGCCTGCGTCTCATATTCTTTGAAGGAATATCTGAGCCTCCCAAGAAAATATAATTTATAAATTTATCTGTGTTCGTGAAAGTGTGCTAAATGACCCTCTTTCATTAATGCATAGTTATTAAGAGAAGTATTTTGAGGGCACTAGATTCCCTGAGTTGTGCAAGCACGTAAAATGCTGAGCTTCTAACAGAAAGGTTGGCGATTCGAATCTGCCCAGATGTGCCACAGAATAAAGGTCTGGCAATCTGTTTTGAAAAATCAGCCATTCAAAACCCTATGGAGCACACTAACACACAGGAGGTCACCAGGAGTCAGGATCAACTCGACGGCCACTGTTTTTTTGTTTGTTTGTAGGCACTAGCTATGAGTTTGTCGTGAATGCTATCACAATACACTTATGAGTAGAAATCCTGGATTATCTGGAAGAAAATGGTCTCAAAGTAACTAATTTGCACAAAGATTATGTTGTGAACACAGAGTAATGATTGGACAAACAATGTGTTTCCAACAGTGGAAACACAGTTGGCAACTAAGTACCTGTCTGCTGGCAATGGTGGGACCTCCATTTAACATACCCTTGTGAACAATTAGATCTTCTGTATCAGACCACTCCAGCTGATAGAAAGTCTCTGTTGACTTGAGTGCAATCCATCTAACCCACTTGTTTCTGTCTCTGTGGCTCAAGAGATCCTTGAGGACTTCCTGGGAAATCCAGAGCCATGGAGACTAGGAACAAGCAGGAAAGCCAGTTATAAGGAAGGGACATTTCCTCTGGCCCCTGGTTGTGAAACACCAGATCTAATGTGTTCATGAGATGGAATTTCAGGAGGACAGCCACATCTGTAGCAGGCAGGCCAAGGAAGGTGACATTTCCAGGTAAGGGCACTTCCCTGCCCACAACCCACAACCCACATTCAGAGGAAGCTTTAGCATTTATAAGCAAGAAGAGTAAGTAGATATGAATCATAAGGATATCCTAGGATCATGGGGCAAGAGAGGAAAGAATACAGGATGTGATTAAGTTAGATGATATCTCTGTGTGTCAAGCTCTACTTTAGCTTCCATCTGAGGTATTTCCAACAATTTATTATGGAAATTTCAATGGTTTTAAATTGCCTTAGTATGGCTTTACAGATTCATTTTTTGAGAGAATATTCACTCTTCAGATTGCTGTTATCTGATCAGGTTCATCCTGAATGTAGAAAGGTGAATTCTATTTATCCCACATAAGATTAAATTTAGCTTATGAATGTAAAAAAGACTATGTACAAACCTACAAGAATACGATTATTTAATCAAGGCAAAGTGTAAGTGATTAATCAGATTATTTAGTCAAGTAGAAGTATGACTATAAATTAATGATTTTTAACTTACAATTTTACATCAGTTAGTGTTCCCTTTTTAAAAAATTGCTTATTCACCAGCTTTGCACTGGTTGGCTTTTAATTGTTTTACAAATATCAAATCCCCTTGAAAAGTCAAGATTTTCCATTATAGGTAATAAATATAATCTGTCAAAGTCTGCGGAGGCAGTTACAAAGGAAGTGTTCTTGCTACATTTAACGTGAGGGCTATGTTGAAAGCAACAATACGCAGATGACTAGTTAAATTATGCTTTTTGTTGTTGGTGTTATTTATTTTTAAAATCATTCATGTTAATTTATCATCTTGCTTTGTACAAAATATAGTATTATTAAAGTTATCTAATTAGGACACATTTATGACTGGGGTTTAGAATCTTCTATATAGCTTCTCTAACTGGGTTTTCCATAAATCCTCCTTGATTTTGCATTCTTTGGTTAGCTGTTTACAGCAACCAAATTAAGTTTTACTTCACTTTTGAACAACATGTATACCAATTAATCAGAGATAATGTATTTTCAGAATAAAGTACTCCATTTAGCTCTTATTTTCCTGAGTGATTATTCTACTCACCATGATTTTTTTCATGCTAATTTCACTTGATAAATAAGGTTAATACTTATGTTTGTGCTTTTTAATATTGACACTGCCAAATATGATAATGCATGCACAATAAATCAGCTTAAACAAAACGCAGTACAAGTGAACAAGATGTTGCTGTTGATTTGGCCCCAGATTATGCCTCAAGCAGCTGTACATTTGACTCAAAGTTGTCTTGCTAACTCTATTTAGGACACTTCATGTTATGATTCCACTGAGCTTCTAGGCAGTTTGGGCTCAGCTGGTTGTGAAAGCTGCCAGATGTCTTGAAGAGATTGTTGAAGAAAATATGGCAGGCTTCACTGGATGACAGGTTATACTTGCCCTTCCACTGACATCTTCGGTTTGACAGGCTAATGGGTTTGCTGGAGGAAGGCATAACTACTCAGTTATGTTAGAAATGTAAGGTGCATGTAGCTGAAAGTCTAACCCAGATGTGTCTAAGGACAGGTGATTTGTATCACAAGTTTTTTCTGTGGTAGGTGACTTTTTCTAAGTCACGTAAAAACTAGGTTGATTAGTTTTAAGACAGTACTCATGGATGTCACTTTAAAAGGCATTTCTAAAGCCTCTCATCCATTCTGAAACTGGGGCAAGTTTGCAGGAAAGTTATGTTTTATTCTTTTTAGCACAAACCGAATCATTATTAATGATTGCATTTTATTGGATGTGGGTGGGGGTTTTGTGATATGTTATGCAAATCTCTAAACATAATCTACAGCGTATCATAAGACAAAAATATATAAAGTTTTCCCAATCTGTAACCACCCCGAGTATATCATAGAGCCCACTCATGAGCACCCTCACTCTACCAACAACACGATAGCATTTTATCATCTTCAGTATGATTCCCTCTTTATTTTAAACTGTTTCAAAGAAAGAAGATACCTACTACTGCAGGAAAGATATCATAAATAAAAGTTTTACCATAACACTTGGTCCAAAAGTGACGAAGATCAAAATATAACATTTATGGCATAAAGCTAATGCATAAGAAATAATAATGAAGACAAGAATGAATTTAATTGGTTATTTAATTAGTTATTGTTTTTTAATTGGTTATTAATGATAAGTGGTTATTGCCTAATTGGCTATTGATTATATTTTTAAAGAAATAAAATATAGCTTAGACAGTGTGTATTTATTTTGCAAATATGTAATCAAGGGAAAATCACAAATTATTAAGAAATCTCTGTTATTGTTAGGTACCACAGAGTCAGTTTTTGACTCATAGTGACCCAAAGTGACAGAGTAGAACTACTCCTTAGGGTTTTCTAGGCTGTAATCTTTACTAAAGCAGATCGCTAGGTCTTTTCTACCACAGAGCCACTGGCTGAGTTCGAACTGCCAACCTTTTGGTAAGCAACCGAGGGCTTAACCGTTGCACCTATAGGGCTCCTTAACAAATTTCTATCATCTTAATTGTTTTTTATTTTCCCAAGGATTTATTTTCTTGGAAATAATTCACTCAAATTTATTCCTAAATTTTCTATATATGTGTATATGTATGTATATGAGCATGTGTATATAAACATACATATATATTTGTATTAATATATGTAATATTTAAAAGATCAGATGTGCATATATATATACATAAATAGAAGTTAATATGTTTTGGCTTTATTCTTATAGAGTTCCAGTTATTCTTGCGTATAAAATAACGAGTGTGTGTTATTGGTGCTGTACAGAATCTCTGACTCTAAACATATATTTTAATTTTGTTTCCAAACTAGAGAATATTATATCACTATGGTTAAATGGGTAAGCAATACCAAGACGGTGGTAAGATGGTTAAACCGACCTCAGAACATCTCCGTCCTCACAGTGTGTGAGACCACTACTGGGGCTTGTAGCAGAGTGAGTATATTTTTATTTTATGTTGAAAATAAAATAGTTTATGTTACCCTCCAAAAGGAAATCTGGAAATTGTTTGTACAAAGTCTTCAATATTTAACTTCACAATTTAGTAAGAAAAAAAAAAAGTAGTTCTATTGAGAGTGTATTCTTTAACCCATAAGACTTCCATATAAGCAGAAAATATAAACTGAGCTTTAAAAAAAAAAAAAAGAATAGCTATAGAGCATAAAGAGTAATCCAAGTCACATTAGTTTCATTCTGAAATCTGGGTCATCTTTCCATATTTTGGCTTTAATTAACTTTAGAAAATATAACGTGTCTTTCCTGTCTTTTTAAAACACATTCCAAAATTTATTTTTTCCTGTAGTTCAGATTAGTTTCATCAAATCACAGACATGCTTCTATCCTTAAATTAATAAAGAATAGTTGAAAGAAAAAATGGTATTAAACCACTGTGTTTTGAAAGCAGGCTTTATTCCAATTTCTAAAGTCAGTTTTTATAAATTCTACAATAAATTCTATATGTGTCATTTTTTAAGGTGCTTGCAGAGGTAATGATGCAATCAGTTTGAATTGCTATCTTATATATCTGGTACTTGAGTAAAGGATTTCCAGATTGTTTAACAACTATATTTTCAAACTTTCACTCAGTCTGCCTCTGGCAAAGAACATTTTTGACTGATATTTCTCCTCGAATACATTAATGCATCACATCCAGCAATATAAATAGAAGATGGTAGTACCTCATGACCAATTGTGTTTATCCCAGGAATTCAAAGTGGGTTAATATTGAAAATTAATCAATATAATTCATCATATGAAAAGAACAGTGAAAAATAGTTAAACTAGTAGATACAGAAAAAGCAGAAGACAAAATTCAACACCTATTCATGATAATAAATTTCAACATAAAAGAATAGAAAGAAAACATCACCAATCTGAGAAAAGATATCCATGAATACCCCCCAATAAATATCATATTTAATGATGAAATACTGACCTCAATCACCTTAAGATCAACAATAAGCAAGGGTGTCTATCCTGACTACTGTTATGTATCCTTTTACTGAAGATCCTAACCAGAGTAACTTGGCAAGGAATAAATGTGATAATTATTTGTAAGGAAAAATTAAAACTGTCTTTATTTGTAGATGACATGATTTTAACATTTATTGCATTAAAAGAATGCAAGATAACAGTTTAATATACCAATATCAACTATGTATTAAATTTCCTAAGCTTGATAATTTTACAGTCGTAATATAAAGCAAAAAACCAAACCTGTTGCCATCGAGTCAATTCAGATGAAAGAGTGTAATTTTCCTGTGAAATAATCGCTGATGTACTTAGAGGTAAATGAGAATAATATCTCCAACTTGTTATTAAATGGTTTGGAAAATATATATACTTCTACCACTGCTTCATTTGGTTTTGAAAAAGTATACCTCCACCTTTCTCTCAAATAGTTTAGAAAAAGTAGAGAGAAAAATAGACTGATAAAGTAAATGAGGCAAGATATAAACAATGGTAAACATGTGTATAGGGTATGGAGAATTTTTTTGTACAAGTCTTGTAACTTCTCTGCACATCTGCACTTATTTCAGAATTAATAATTTTAAAAGAACAAATATATTTCTATATCCTAGCAATAATCAAATAGAAAAGAAAATACCATTAAAAGTCTTTGGAACATTGAGTACTTTGGAATAAATTTAACAATTATTTTGCAAAATTTCAATATCGAAAACTACATTGAGAGGAATTTTAAAAAATGACCTAAACAAATAGAAGTTTTAACATGTTTTTAATTCAAAGTCAGTATTGTTAAGCTGTCAGTTCTACTCAAATTGAACTATCCTTTCAGTATAATCTCAATTAAAATATTGGTAGGCTTTTTTTTTTTTTGTAGAAACAAGGTGATTATAAAATTTATATGGAAATGCAAAGGACCTGAAAGAGCCAAAATAATCTTGTAAAAAGAAGAACAAAATTTTAGGAGTCACACTACCTAAATTCAAATATAACTAGAAAGCCACAGAAATCAAGAGATTCTGGTGTAGGCATATGGACGCTCAATAGATCAATTGAACTGAATAGAGACTGCAGAAATAGATATACATTTATATCATCAACTGATTTTCAACATAGGCTTCAAAGCAATTCCATGAAGGAAAATGGAGCTAGAACAACTGGTATCCATATGGAAGGGGGAAGAAAAATGAAGTTTGACTGCTATCTCATACCATATCCTAAAATTAATTGGACATAAATCAGTCTTAAATCTAAAAGCTAATGTAGAGGAAAATATGGGATTATAACTTCACTATCTTGAACAGGCAACAACTTCTTAGAACAAAGAGAGCAGTAACCATAAAAAAATAATACATTGACATCATCAAAAGTAGAAACTTCTCATCAGAGGCACTGTTAAGGAAATGAATAGGCAAGCCACAGACTGGGAGAGAATATTTTGCAAATTGTGTATCTGACAAGGGGATATGTAAATAATTCTCACATCTCATTTAAAAAAAAAAAAACAAAAATGTCAAAAGATGTAAGCACTGACTTTTAAAGGAAGATACACTAGTGGCCATTAAACACCTGAAAAATGCTCAAGATTATTAGACATCAGGAAAATGTAGATTAAAATCATGGTAACCTAGATATCCACTAAAATACCAAACTCATTTCCTTTTAGTCAGTTCCAACTCATGGCAACCACATGTGTGTAGACTGGAACTGCACAGCACAGGGTTTTAAGGCTGTGACTTTTCAGAAGCAAATCACCAGGCCTTTTTTGTCTAGGTGCCTTTAGGTGATTTTGAACTGCCAACCTTTCAGTCAGCAGTCGAGCTCTTAACCATTCATGCCATCCAGGGACTCCACATACCCACTTGTTGTTGTTGTTAGGTGCCATCGAGTCAGTTCTGACTCATAGCGACCCTATAGGACAGAGTAGAACTACCCCACAGGACTTCCAAGGAGAGGCTGGATTTGAACTGCCGACCTTTTGGTTAGTAGCTGAGCTCTTAACTTCTACACCACCAGGGCTCCACATACCCACTAGAAAGACTAAAATTAAAAAGCAAAAAAATAAAAAAGGTAACAACATCAACTTTTGATAAGATTGTGGAGAACTGGAGTTATTCTTCATTGCTGGGAGTTTAAAATGGCACAACTACTTTAGAAAATGATTTCACAGTTTCTAATAAAGTTAAACATATATACCAAAAACCAAAACCAAACCCACTGCTGTTGAGTCGATTCTGACTCTTAGCGACCCTATAGGACAGAGTAGAATTGCCCCTTAGGGTTTCCCAGGCTGTAAATCTTTATGGAAGCAGACTGCCACATTTTTCTCCTGTGGAGCAGCTGGTGGGTTTGAACCACCAACCTTTTTGATGGCTGCCAAGAGCTTTAACCACTGCGCCAGCAGGGCTCCTATATATACCCTAAACCAAAAAAAAAAAAAAAAAATTCTGCTGTCAAGTGGATTCCGCCTCCTAAGACCCTTTGATTCCATTCCCAGGTATTTACACAAGAAATAAAAGCGTGCATCCACAAATGGATTTGTACAAAAATATTTATAGTAGCTTTATTCACAATCGCTAAAAAATGGAGACAGCCTAATTACTCATTAATAGAGAATGGATAAAAATTAATGAGGTGTATTTATACAATGTAATTCTAATCAGCAATTAAAAAGCAACAGATTACGGATACACTCAACAAAATGAATGAATCTGAAAAACATATGGTGTGAAAGAAGCCTTATACAAAAAAAAGTGTATAATGCATGATTTCAATTATCTGAATTTCTAAAATAACCAAAATTAATCTATGAGGAAAGAAATCAGAACCGTGGTTGTCTTTTGGGTACCATTGGTAAGGGGCATGAAGGTTGTATGGGGAGATGTAAACGTCCTGTATCTCAGTGGAATGTGAATGAATTTGTCAAAACTCATCAAATTGTACCCTTAAGATCTGTACATTTCACTATTTGTAAATTATACTTGAATATATTTTTAAAACATAATTTTAAATGATCTGAAACGAGAAATAAAAAAGCCAAAGTTTCTCTTATTGGAATGATTGACAAAGATATGGAAACGAGGTAGCTGAATCGAGGATTTATTTATTAGATTGACTGATGTGCTTCACATTTAGCTTGTGCTATTGAGTTACTTAGGTCATCGTCTTCATTTATATTATAAACTAACTAGGCTTTCTCCATTTATTTGTTAAAGTGTTCTGCATGGTTTCTTTTACAGCTGGTCACTGAGTCACTTAAAAGCTGGCATATAAAGCATATTCTAGTTAGTCAGAGAAAGCCAATCACCTTCTCTATATAAACTAATCTAAATTTTTTTTTATTATATATCAGTAACTGAAAGATTATATTAAAATTATTCAATAGAACATAGTGATAAAAACCCTATCATATTATTGATTTAACACTTTATTGACATGCTATTATATTTCTATTCCATTTATGGAGTTGAAAAGACATTTTACTTTCTGCCATAATTGAAATCATGAGGCAAATAATAGCATGTGAAGTTTTATACTCTCATGAATTCTAAAAACATTGATTATACTAATGAGCAGTGTCATTAGTATATATTTTAAGTCTCTGTTTTATAGATACCAAAAAAAGTTATTACTGAAGTGCAGAGAATCAAGGAAATGATTTAGCTAGATGTTTCCCTAATGGCTGCATGCAGCAAAAATCTATTGATAAGAAAAGCTCTAAAAAGAGAAAGTGGTTGATGTAATAATATAACTTTAGTAAGAGAAACTAATAAAAAGAAATTTGTAAAGGTATTATTATTATTATTAACATTTTGAAGTGAGTACCTAAGTATATAGGTAAAATCCATAATATAACGTGATTTAATTTTCTTAAATTGTGTACATTTTTATACATTCATTTTTTTCAGAAAACTACAAGATATTTCATAATTCATTACACATAAATGGTATTACTAAAATTTTATTTTATCTATACATATTTAACATTAGATAAGTCTTTTTTTAAGCAATATGATTTTGGTTCTGGTCCTTTGAAAGACTGTTTTAAGTGAATATATAATGTTGACACTTCAAATGTATAATTGTTTTTCCCTTAAACTGAAGTACTACTGATTAAAAAAACAAAATACAAGACAACAACAGAAAAAAAACAACCTATACTGAAGGATGTATTGGATATTGAAAGAATATCCACCTTTTAATTTTATTCCTGGCTGTTTGCCCAGTTCTTTAAAGGACTTACGAATATGTCCTGATGACGCCTAGAGGTGAAAAGAGAGTATTTGGTGGTTCAGAAGAGTTTGAGTGAGGTAACCAAACAGAGCTGGAAAATGATCTTTTATCCCTGATGAAATACTTTTGGGAATTCTGAAGGAATTTACTAAAGAGAAAACTTTATAATTATCATTTAATACCAGTTCTCTACTTATTCATTCAGTTTAAATCAATAATAACAACAGTATCTCTCATGGTATTTCACCAACTGAAAAGAAAAAAAAAATGCCTGAAGGATAACAGTGTGAAAAAAATTAGTATATGCTCATTTTGGTCTTTAGATACTTCATGGAGTTAATTTTTTTTGTTTGTTTGTTTCAGAAATATGAAACGATGTCAGATACATGGCTCTCTAAACAGGTATAGTATATATCGTCTCTTTATGTCACATTTGGCCGTGATGACCATTCAGTTCATCCATTTGTTGTATAATAACTTCCTATAAAAATCTATTCCAGTAACATGACTTTAAAGTTTTGTTATAGTTCTCCAACTGAGTCTTTTCCTTTAAAATATTTCCTATAGTTTGGGCTGTCTATGATCATTTGTGAAAGATTGCATTGGTTTTTATGGGATATAAATTGCAGAATAACTACCAGAGTCCATTTTCAGGATCATTCAAACGAGTAAACTTTGTAAGGATGAAGGACAAAACATTGTGAACCATCAAAACTAGAAACCATCAACATTACTTAAATTGTCCAGAAAACTGCAAAGCTCTGCATAAATTGGTCATATGGAGATCATTCATGAGGAGATCATTGAGATGAACACTTCTTAAATTAGAAGATTTATCCTAGTCCATGAAGCTAGTTTGTGCCAAAATGAGGTTTCTGGACATTTCAGAAGGAAATACAATAGATTATCCAAATATGACTGAGTCCATTTTAATATTAACCCCATCTGTAGTTTTCGCAAAGGGTAGTGTGTTTTGTTTGGTTTTGATTTGTTTTGTTCTCTACAGCAATCTTTTATTTTATATCCTCTAAGTGTTATACACATCCATGGTTTCAATTATCACCCATATACTGATGCCTCCAAATGTACAACCCCAGCCACTCTTCTGAGTTCTGAAACATCCAAATTCATGTTGGCATCTCCTCCTATATTTATCAAAGTAATTGCAAACTACAGTGGTTCAAACTGAACATATTCCTCTTCCAGTCAGTCTTATTTCTTCTTATCACAGAAGTAAATGATATCTGTCCATCTGTTTAAACCAGAAACCTGGTAGTCTATCTCAAAACTTTCATAATCCTTATCTTCAAATATAGTGCATCAAGTTCTTTCATTTCACTTCCAAAGATCCTTCATGTCAATTTAACTTTCTCCATCTCACAAACATCATCCAGGTTCAAACTATAGGTGCTGAAGTTTTTTCTTGACTGGTGAACTCTCAACCTCTGCGGCACCTGCCAAGGTGTTCTCCACACTTGAGGCTAAGGGACCTTTTTAAATATTCATCTGATTCTGATTACCCACATCACCCTGATCCTCCCACCCTACAACTCAAGATACTTTTGTCTCTTCCTTATGTTCTTCAGGTGAAGACCAACACCCTTAAAATAGTCTGCAGAGATTACATTGAAAGCTTTCCAGCTCTGTGTCATATTATCCTTCCATCCATTTTCTCCGTTCCAGCCACATTAGCCCTCTAATGCATGGGGCCTTTGCATGTGCTCTTCTTTCGAAATACAATCCTATAAACTACTGTCTTATTTGAAGACTATTCATTTTTCAGATCTCAGCTAAAGTTACTCACTTAAGACTCCCCAAACCCCACCCTAACAAAATTACATCCCCTAGTAAAAGTTGCCTTAAAGTCAAAGGTAATCTTTTGTAACCCTTATATAATTATTTTATTTACTAAGCTCCATGAGGGTAGGAAGATTGACCATCTTTACTCCCCATTGTAATCCAGATGCCTAATATAGAGCCTGGTATATCACAAGAGCCCCAGAAATACTTATTGAATGAATAATTTTTTTAAAAAAAAAGCAAAAATGATTATTAATAGGCTAAACTCTTGTTTGTTTGAAATGTAGATATACTAATCTATATAATCCAAAAGCACACTTGTTGCCGTTGAGTCAATTCTGACTCATAGCAACCCTATAGGACAGAGTAGAACTGCCCCATAGTGTTTCCAAGGAGCAGCTGGTAGATTCGAACTTTTGACCTTTTGGTTAGCAGCCGTAGCTCTTAACCACTGCACCACCAGGGCTCCTCACTTATCTACATATCTGCCTATGTATATAAATATGTCTATATATATTTTTGTTTATGTTTCTGTCTACAACCATGGATATCTATTAATATGAACAATTTAATCTTAGGCAGTATACAAAATGAAATTGGAAAAAAGCTAAATTTTTTCAGTCAGTAATTGACTTTCACCAAATTAAGTTAGATACTGAAAATAAACACACTGAAAAAATAGAATGGATATGGCTATATCCTGAATAGTCCTGCATTATTAAACCTATTTTGTTATTATTTTTATTCCCAGTGACAGTTGTAATTGTCTAACACATATCAACAAAATGCGTGCAGTTCTATGATTATGCTACCTAAGTTTAAATCCCAATTTATGAATGTTTAATAGACGCTTCTTTTTTTAAAGCAAAGCAACCAGTTCTCAATTATTCAGAAAGAAAATTCAGTTGCTAGTTTATCACAGTTGACTTTTCTTCAGAAGCTCGGGGGAATTTTTATGAAACACTTAGATGAAATTTAAAGGATGAGCACAGTAGTAGTAATTAGATGAAGCAGATTTCTGAGATAGTAATTATCATGAAATCACTCCTGAGTAGTAGGAAGAACAGAAAGAAGTGGAAATGTTTGGCCTCGCTTTCAAGGGATTTACAGTTGAAGTGACCAGTACATAATATTTTGCGTTAAAGATAGAGTTTTTATATACGCACTTCATCACCCTCTGTGTCATAAGCACTGACTTGCTTACCATCGTAAAAGTGGATAGTAAGATTGTCTCCACTTCCTTTATTTGACTGTAGGAAAGGGACTGCATTGAGCTGTATGTTTGTGGCAAGAGATCTAGCTGGAAGATTCCTAAGTCCAGCTATGAGTTTGACACTGCAGCCTTCATCTGTTCCTTTTCTGAATCACTTCTAAAGCCCCCAAATTGGGGGAGGTGGGATGCAAAAGGGAGAATGCTCAGATATCCCCGTGCCATAAGAAAGCAATTCACTTTCTGAGTGAAGCACAGGGGAGAATAGTGAGTAAGGGAGGAGCCCATAGTTTGAAATAAATGTGATGGATAGGCTGATATCGTAAATATCTGCCCATTTCGTGCATTCATTCATTCATTCAGCAAGAAAATGGTAAACACCTACTGTGTCCTATGCAATGTAGCCTAAAAGTAAAATTTAAAACTTAATTTCATTACTAATCACCTAGAGAATGAAATTAACATGTTTAGATGAATATAGTAGAGTGTAAGGAAAGCAATGATAGAGGTGAATACAGGGTACTTTCAGAACCTAGGAGGTAAGATTTCCTAACAAGAGAAATTTGGAAAGGATCTCTGTCCCATGAGTTGAAGTAAAACATGAGTAGGATTTAGCACAAAAAGGGAGACGGAAAGGTTGTTCCAAGCAGAAGAAACACCATGTTAGGAGGAAAAGAGGCTGATATTGCATAGGGAAAAGAGACAAACAGAATTAACAACGCTGTCATAGTTGAAAGACATGATTTGTCCAATCATTCAAATATCTTATCAGTATTGATTATATGCTCAATAATGCAATTTTCCAGTCCCTGATTTGAATATTACTTCAAATCTTAAATTGATTACCTGTATTACCTTATATTTTCATAAGGGTCAAAATGAGGTAGAAAGGACGATATTATTCTTTTATTACTATCAAGAAGTGTTCTTACTCATGAGATTAGAATCAAACTCCCTAGCGTATTAAAATAGTTATCCATTTACTAAGTAATTATTGAGCACAAGCTACATGACAGTCACTGTACCAGATGCTAGAAATACAGCAATGAAAGACAAGGTTCTTGCCTTATGGAGTTTACGTTGTAGAGGAAGACTACATGCATGCATATCTACATGCATACAAACATGCATAAAATATAATAGATCAGATGCTGTTAGGTGATATGAAAAAAAAAGGAAAGTAGGCAAAAGGGGAGGAGTGCTGGTGGCACAGTAGTTAAGTAGTTATGCATATGCGAATCTTTCGAGCAATCTAGTGAAGACTCAATTTCAAGCTGACAAAATAAAGATAAATATAAATCTGGCAAAAGATCCCTACTCCAAACCATCTGATTTTATGTTCTTACAACCTTCTGATTTGTGCATATACTTAAGTAGTTAAGTAGCTAACCAAAAACGTTGGTGATTTGAACCCACCAGTCCCTCTGCGGGAAAAAGATGTGGCAGTCTGGTTCCGTAAAATTTACCACCTTGGATACCCTATGAGAGAGTTCAACTCTGTCTTTTAAGGTTGCTATGAGTCAGAGACAAGGGAAAATAAAGGGCAAAAGGGGATAAGGAATGTTAGGTAGGTTGGAGTGATCTTGTTTCTCTGATCACCCTTTACATAGAGTAATCAGGGAACACCTCATTAACACTGGATCAAAGACATGAAGGAGATAAGAGAAAGAACCATACAGTGGGAATGAAAGTGCAAAGGTCCTGGGGCATGTAGGAGCACAGTGACAAAGAACAACAATGAAAGGAAATGGTATCAGAAAGCTAGTAAAGGGCCAGGTCATCTAAATAGGCCTTGTAGGCCATTTAATAACCTAAGAGGAAATCATATAAAAGCCTACTTTGATATTATCTTTATTATCATTCTCATAGTCCAGCAGGAAAGGATTCAATGTTTAGTCAGATAAATTCATTTTCTTAATGTTTTCCCTGAAGCAAGTAAAAGCAATCTATATTCAGAGCTTCCATCATTTAATTTTCAAAAATAATTTTATTGATTGAATGTGCCACTAGAATTTAATTAAAGAAACACTAAATTAGGATTCACAGTTGTGGCGGACGTTTCTGTGTGTGTGTGTGTGAGGTGAACAGTGAGGATAGGAAATTGGAATTACATGATCTCTTTGGATTTCTCTCTTGTGACATTTTGTTTTTTATGTTTTTAGTACATATATGGATACACCATCAGAAATGTACATTCAAGCGATTACAGCTGCTGAAAGGTTTTCAGAAAATATATTAAATATTGAATGTTATAGAATTTTATAAATTTTATTAAAAATTGTACTTGCTAAACCAGAACAGATGTTTACCTTTTCTTTACCTATGAATAATAATGCTGGTGACACACATTTCAAATGCTACTTTGAGATTGTTATACGCTCTTCTGTATTTTAGAATGAAGAGCCAGTGTTTTCTAGAGATGGCAGCAAATTCTTTATGACAGTTCCTGTCAAGCAAGGGGGCCGTGGAGAATTTCATCACATAGCTATGTTCCTAGTCCAGGTAAGTGCCCGCTTCTTTCCATGGTTTGGTCATGTTGCCATCATGTTCCTGAAGATCCATTTTCAGTGGCGTCTGAGTGTACACTCCGTACATGTAGAGCCAAGTCATAATCCAACTCAGTCAACATCACTCACTGGACCTAGAGAAAGGTGTTTTAGGAAGAGCACTCCCGTCCACAGCTATGGATTCAAGCTGTACATTTCCACAAAACAGTCTCAACATGTGATAAAATTTAATGAGCCCTACATGCATGCAATGAATTGATGTCCATGGGATATAGAATTTAATAGATGAAAAACATCCAGCCCCTACTGTCAAGAACCTAAGGACAATGTAGAGATTTGTTCACTCAATAAATGCATACTATTTATTTTGTACAAGTAATATTTTCACAGTGGTATAAAAGTTTCCAGTGCTCAAAACAAATTAAATGTCTATCAAAAATTGAATGGTTGAATAAATTGTGGCACGCTCCCACAAGGAAATACAATGCAGAGTTAAAAAAATAGGTTAAAATCGTTCTTTTTTTTTTCTTTTCTCTGATGTATTTTCAAGTAGACATTAGAGGCTGTGCTATAATTTTTTTTTTTTGACTTTCCAAAAAAGGATGGGGAAAGATTAGTTTTTCCTCCAAATTTTGAAAGGATTTTAACAATTTACACAGGTTTATTTAATTATAAAAAATCAGTGAGTTCATAATAAGTAGTTTAAATGTGACAAGGTTGATGAGTCAATTTGAATTTCATTTCTAGTGACAAACATTCATTAGAAAATAAACCATTGTGGCTAAATTGGAATCTCATATCTGAATCTTTTGAGCAAACTAGTGAAGACTCAATTTCAAGCTGACAAAATAAATAGAAATCTGGCAAAACATCCGTACTCCAAACCATCTGATTTTATGTTCTTAGAACCTTCTGATTTGTGCATATACTCAAGTGTTTACCATTATTTATACATATATATGTTTTGGGTAACTCAGTGCTTTGAATTCTCAAAATCTTGTTTCAATAACTTAAAATTTAACAGTTGTCCAATAATTGATCATGATTTTAACTTTAATTTTAATCAAGCCTGATGTAAATAATTTGGAACATATGTAATTTCCACAGTACAGATGTAGACTGATTTTTATAATATATTTTTAAGGTAGAAGAACAGGTTATAGGTGTATGTGTACTTGTTATCACATTGTGTTCTAAATAAATGTATATATTTGTATATAAATGGAATTGTGTATAATTTGATGTTAAGCTATTAAGGATTATATCAGGAGGCTGGGATTAAGGAAAGGTTTTCATTTTTATGAGAACTGGAAGAAACTTCACTAGTGGATTGCTTTATCTGATTTATTGAATTAACTTTTGCTAGCTAAGAGTAAGCTTTGTTATCATAAATACTAAGGCAGTATTCTGGCCCAGAATATAAAGCACACATTCCAAATGTTATAGCTGCATTTTGTTGAATTTTTAGATCTCAGTATTTTATATTTATGAAGCTGTATATAAACCCAGGTAGTCAAGATTATATACACATTGTGGATGTTTATAAGATACAGTGAAGGGAAGGGAAAGATGTACAATACATATTGGTATATACAATTCCAAGAAGAAGATAATCTATTCAAAAACTAGGAAGGAAAATGGTGTATTTTAAAAAGTGTGGTATTGGGGGTGAAGCCGGCATGTGTGAATTGAGATATTTATGCATGTCACAAAGTTTCTTTATAACATTTGGAGCCCTGGTGGTGCAGTGGTTAAGAACTCGGCTGCTGACCAAAAGGTAGACAGTTCAAATCCACCAGCCACTCCTTGGAAACCCTGTGGGACATTTCTACTATGTCCTATAGGGAGTCACAGTCAACTCTGTGGCAACAGGTTTGTTTGTTTGTTTTTTTGGTTTATTCTCTGTCCCCTAGTCAAAAGAGTCTGACATACAGTCTAATTCATTATTTATGAAATGTTCAGAAGACCAACTTCATAGAGCATATGTATCTACTTTTTCCTTCTCTATATAGAGATTATAACAAAGCTTTCATTGAAGTAGAAAACATTTGTATCTATTGTGGTTGCAGTTCAGGGAGTTTGTAGTTTGCCTCACTGAGAAGTGAATAGGATTGCATGGTTTTTTATGCACATTTGGCAATGTAGCTAAAATTAATCTGCTTTGTTAGTCAGTTAGAGGTCAGTGCTTAGGTAAATACTATTAAACCTAAATAAACACACATACGCATACACACACTCACACACACACACACACAATTTTAGTAAGTAGTTTGGATCCCCTTGCCTTAATATAATATCTAACATAAAAACTAATTCTTTTATTAATCTTTTATGATTGCTATATACAGTGGAGCCCTGGTGGCGCAGTGGTTAAGTGATATGGCTGCTAACCAAAAGGTTGGCAGTTCGAATCCACAAGCTGCTACTTGGAAACCCTATCAGGCAGTTCTGCTCTATACTATAGCGTCACTATGGGTCGTAATCGATCTGATGGCAACAGCTGTGTGTGTCTGTGTGTGTGTGTGTGTGTGTGTGTGTGTGTGTATGAGTGTTTGGTTTATATATACAGTACAGAAAATGTAGGAAATTCTAAACAGAATAATGGAATATAGAAAATCACCCATAATCTCATCATCCCACATTCTCACACTGTTAATCAATTGGTATATATAGTTCTAATTCCATTTTACATTAAAAACATAAAATTTTCTCCTACAGATTGCAATCAAACTGTAATAATATATATTTCACACCCACATACTATATATATAATATTTAAGGACTAGCTTGGGAGAATTTTCTCATTTCATTTATTAGTAGTCTTAATACTTACTATTATTCTTATATGTGATTTTAATAGCTATTTTACATTCCATCAAGTAGACATACTAAAATGTATTTAAATAATATGATTTTATTCATCATTAAGGTTATTTCTACTTTTCAATATTATAAATGATTTTGAGATAAACATTCTTATAATTAAATACTAGTTGTTATTTATGATAATTTCCATAAAATAAATTTCTACATATCAAAATACACCAATGCCAATTTTATTTATATATGTGTTTAGTTTTTTGATACATAGTACTAAATTGACTCTCTAAAACTACTATACTAATTTATAGTCTAACCCCTAATGCATGCCAACAATGATGATGTTTTAATCCATTCTTCCTTCTCGTGTCATTCTAGAGTATTCCACTGAAAACTTACATGCCCAGAGAGGTGAGAAATGACAAGAACATAAGGCTTGGCAGCCCACAGTTAGGAAAGCCACCTTTTTAGTACTTGACACTTAGCTATACCTGAAAGCTTTGCAATTTACTGAAAGTATTTATTTATTTGAAGTAGGCTTACTAAAGAAATTAATAAATTTTTGCAACTATTTTTCTCTCTCATATAATCTGTAGACAGATAAAAACCATTAAGTAGAGACCAAGCTACAAAATCAATACGTAAAGGCTATTTTCTTTCTTTCTTTACTTATTTTTTATTGTATTTTAAGTGAAAGATTACAATTCAAGTTAGTCTCTCATACAAAAATTTATACATACATTGTTATGTGACCCTAATTGCTCTTCCTATACTGTGACAACACACTCCTCCTTTCCACCCCTGATTTCCCATGTACATTCAACCAGCTCCTGACCCTCTCTGCCTTCTCATCTCACCTCCAGACAGGAGCTGCCCATTCAGTCTCATGTATCTGCTTGAGCTACAAAGCACACTCTTCACGAGTATCTTTTATGTCCCATAGTCCAGTCTAATCTTTATCTGAAGAGTTGGCCTCAGGAATTATTTCAGTTCTGGGTTGACAGAGAATCCAGGGTCCATGCTTTCTGGGGTTCCCCCAGTGTCAGACCATTGAGTCTGGTCTTTTTTTTTTTTTTAATATTTTATTGTACTTCAGGTAAAGGCTTACGGAAGAAATAGTTTCTCATGAAACAGTAGTACACATGTTGTTTTATGACATTGGTTAACAACCCCACAACATATTAACCCTCTAAATTCTCAACCTTTTTTTTTTTTTTGGTGAAAATACACATGGCCAAAGATACACCGTTTCAAAAATTTCCAAATACACAGTTCAGTGACATTGACTACGCTCTTCCAATTGTGCT